CGAACATCGATCGGCGGCAACTACCGTTAGTGGGCTCGTCCCCACGCCTGTCTCGAATTCCCGGTCAAGAACCACAAGGGCAGTGTGTAACGGGGTGAATCGTTACATAACAATTTATAAGAAATTGTTAATAGAATATAACTATAAGAGTTATATTCTCAGAATATTGTCATAAGGACAAATATTCTGTAGCACTTCCAAGTAGTTCTTAATTGGTTGATATAGGCCATTATATCAACCAACGAAGACGCGCCACGACAGACGCACGCAATGAGTGGTGAGCAGATAGCTGATTTACACATTTGTATTTAGACATAGTTAGATGAAGATAAATAGTGATTTATTGCAGACATTAACTATTATAAATACAGTTCTACTTTTTACTTTAATCAAGTACTCGCTTCTTCTTACCGTCTTCCTCTGCACGTACGAGTGTACGTGAAGTTACGAGGCACCGCCTTATTCTGTTATCAGAATAAGTAGCTTGTACTGTCACCAGTACAAGCTTCAGGGTGCCCCGTTACACCTGGTAGCACTTCGTAGTCCGTCCAAGGACCGCGTTCACATCCAACATGAATATGTTGGATGATGAAGATGACCAAAGCTTTCACGCTACGCGTGACGGCTACTCCCATTTGAGCGATGTCGAATGGGATGCGGTTGAACGAATGGGTTCGACCATGGGCATCCATGCTGTTAGCGTCATGCTAGAGGCTCTCAATAGAGATGCCCAACATGCTACTATCACCAAGTTCATTCAAAATGAACTTGACGCAGAACGCGAGAAAGTAGCCTTGCTTCACCAACAAGGTTCTCAACAAGCAGAGTTGTTGAGAGAACAAGGTGCTCAACAGTTTGAACTGTTGAGACAGCAGCAGGCTGCTGCTGGCGGGTCGATGCACTCGCGTCGGCCCGAGACTTTGAAGATTGACATCTCAAAGTATAGGGGGGTCGAAGAAGACTCCCTCTTGAGATGGTTCGTCGAATTGGATGACGCCATAAGGGCGCGTCGCATCGACGACGGGGATATGCAAGTTGCATTTGCCCAGTCAAATCTGGCAGGACGTGCCAAGACTTGGGCACTGGGGCTCAAGCTGCACGACCCATACGCGTTTGGGTCGTTGGAAGTCTTCAAGTCGCGGCTCAGACAAACGTTTGAACCGCCTAGAGCTGAGTTCAGAGCTCGAACCGAACTCTTGAAGCTCAAGCAGGGTAAGCGTGATGTGCACGCTTACGCTCAACATATACGACATCTCACGAGTTGTATAAGTTCCAATCCGGTGGATGAACACACGTTGGTTTCGGTGTTCATGCAGGGTCTTGCGGATGGTCCCGTCAAGACTCACCTGTTCCGGCTTGAACTAGATTCACTAGAACAAGCCATTTCAATTGCGGAGCAGGAAGACTTCAGTCTGAGACAGGCTCGCGCCAGCTCGACATCATATCGTCAACCGAGACGATATGACAACGGAGGTCCAGAGCCGATGGAACTCTGTTATGTAGAGAGCGAGAAGGCTCGCTCTACAGGCTACAAGAAGTTGCAGAGATGCAACAGATGTCAAAAGACAGGACACTACGCTTACGAGTGTAGTGCCCCTCGTCCAGTGTCTCGCGACACTGGGCGTAGTGACCGTCCACCCATGAGAAAGGGGCAGGGACGAGGGTCCGCAGTTGGTGCAAAGACGCAACAACGGGATGGACCGTCAAAAAACGGACAGGATCAGTAGGTGCGGAGCACCCTACTGATCCAGCAACGTCAAGAGAATTTGTAGGCCTCTTGATGAAGGTTGCTCCCAACACACAGACATTGTGCGTTGCTGCTCTAGGTAATGAGATCTCACTCATTACCTTGAAACTCGAAGTGACGAATAAGTTGTCCCTTCGAGCTCTAGTCGATTGTGGGGCGTCCAACAATTTTGTGCGACGCCAATCGCTAGAAGATGGTCACTTTAAATTCAGTGAATGTGACACACCTCCTACGAGGATGACGGTACGTCTTGCGACAGGCGCATCCGTAACCGTCATGAAGCGTATAGTGAAGATTCACTATACGCTAGAAGATACCCAATACGACGATGACTTTATCGTATTGGATTTGGATGACAAATTTGATGTCATCCTTGGAATACCGTGGCTCAGAAGGTACGAACCACGGGTAAACTGGCAACATCGGACAGTAACGATGCCTGCCGCTTGTTCATCAGATGGCCATCTGATGAACGTTTTGGAGAGTCCACAAGCGTGTGGATGTACTACGAGTGAGTGCGATGGCCTCACTTGTGGTACGGTCGTTAGTACGACTGCACAAAACCTTAGTGTACCAAACGGTTACACTTCGGAGCAAAGTTCCGGCGGCTGTGAGGAAACACAGGCTGCGCCGAAGGTCCACCACTCGAATAAGTCGGGTGGACTGGGACAAAGATGTATCCCTAGAGGGGAACATCTAGAAGAGAAACAATCGATCGCTCAGGTTAAGCGAAACGATAATCCTAGATCGACTGGAGAGTCTTTCGTAGAGGATCTCGCTGTGGTTGCGCAACCCCAGCTAGAGGAAGTAAAGGGAATAAGTCCCAAGATTACAAATACGGCGGAAATAAGTTCCCCCGAAACCCGCGGGAATAAGTCCCCGGGAAGACGAAGGAATAAGTCCTTCGAAGCCTGAGGGAATAAGTCCCCAGGAAATGACAGAGACATTGAATGTCATAGTCAATAACGGATCAAGTGTAGGCGCTTATACACTTGATCTGATTGCGCCTCCGAAGTTAACTTCGGAGATCACTCAGTTGCCAACGCTCGAACATAAAAGGTTCTTGCGTGATCTGCGTAGTGGCAAAGTCAAGCAGATCTGCATACTCGTCGCTGACGACGAGTGTGTAACCGACATAAGGTCAGCAACAGTGTTCACTGAGAACGAGAGAGTTCTCAGTAGTTCATCTATGGACGAGAGTGTCCTAGATGAAAAGACACGAATTGAGCGATATGAGTCCCAATCATGGGAATCGCTCAAGGAAAATCCTCTCTATGAAGATTTGGTTGAATTCAAGGATGTATTCCCTGAAACTGTTCCGTGCGAATTACCGAAGGATAAAGGTATTCGACACGAAGTCGAGCTTAAACCAGGCTCGAAGTACTGTGTCATGAAGCAGTGGCCACTGCCTCGTGAACAAGTACTTGCGATCGACAAGTTCTTTGCCGATCGTTTAGCAGCGGGCCATGTGAGGGAATCAACTTCCCCACATAGCTCTCCGACCTTCTGTGTGCGAAAAGCAACAGGAGGGTGGCGGATAGTGCACGCGTTTAACAAATTGAACGCTGCAACGGTACCGGCTCAGACGCCGATACCGAGGAAGGACGTAATCATTGATGGTATGTCAAAGAGTACCATCTTTTCGTCCATGGATTTGATGGATGGCTTCTATCAAATCCTAATGCGGGAACGGGATATACCCTATACCGCAGTTAGCACGCCTAGCGGCATGCTCTGGGAATGGCTAGTAATGCCACAAGGGCTCAGTAATGCCCCTGCCACGTTCAACAGGTGTGTATCACATCTGTTGAGGCCAGTACGAGAATTCGCGCCGAGTTATTTCGATGACGTATTCATCCATAGTCGAGCTATGGATGGAAAGTCGGACGTTGAGGTTCACAAGTACCACGTCCGACAAGTTCTTACAATCATGCGAAAGCATCAATTGTATGCAAACCTCAAGAAGTGTATATTTGCAGCAAGCGAAATACCACTTCTTGGGTGCATCGTTGGTAAGAACGGTGTACGTCCTGATCCCGAAAAGATCAAGGCGATCACCGACTGGCCCGTGCCGGTCGATGTCAAAGGTCTTCGAAAATTCCTTGGGCTAGCGGCGTATTTGCATAAGTATTCACGCAATTACGCCGAGATGACTGTACACCTCTCTCGTTTGTTGAAAAAGAACGAGAGGTGGTTATGGAACGCTGAATGTCAACGCTCCTTTGAGGGTATCAAGCAGAGCTTGATACAATCCCCAGTCCTAGCAATAGCCGATCAGGACAGGCCATTTCATGTGGTCTGTGATGCCAGCGATTTCGCAATCGGCTGTGCATTAATGCAGTACGACCTTGAAGGCGTTGAACGCGTCGTCTGCTATCAGTCGCGTCAGCTGCAACCAGCTGAGCGGAACTATCCAGTGCATGACAAGGAACTCCTTGCCATGAAGTATGCACTCGCGAAGTTCAGAGTCTATCTATTAGGAGATAGACCCTTCGTTGTTTACACTGACCATGCGTCCTTACGCACGGCAGTGAACAGCCCGCACCTTTCACAACGAATGGCGCGGTGGTTGTCATTCTTTGCAGAATACAACTTTACGGTCGAGTACAAACCAGGACGACTTAATGTCGTCGCTGATGCACTCTCACGTCGTCCCGACTTTGAACCAGTCGTGAAACCCAACAGTGAGACAGTCACTGTTGCGGTTATGACGTCCTCAGTACCTTCTTCAACGTTGCATGATGATGTGAGGCGGGCGTATGCCCAAGATGTTAAGATTGTGAAGTTGTTGACACATCTCTCACAACCATCTCGAGAATCGTTGAAACGATTGTCGTCTGCGTATCGATCTGCATCAGATCGATACACTACTCGTAACGGTTTACTGTATTATACAGCCGTTTCTGGTGACACACCACGTGTTGTCATTCCAGATGATACTGATCTGCGTTTGCGGATCATGTTCGAGTATCACGATGCTCCTATAGGAGGACATCGTGGCCGAGAGAAAACATATCTCACGGTAAGTCGAGACTTTTACTGGCCCCGCCAGTATCAGTTTGTACGAAAGTATGTTCGCGCATGCGAAGTCTGTCAACGAGTGAAGTCAAGTCCTTCACTGCGTGCACCTTTACAGCCTCTACCGGTTCCGGCTGAGTGCTGGGAATCCATCTCAATGGATTTCATCTTCGGGTTACCCAAAGACGCACGCGGGAATACGGGTATTCTCGTATTTGTTGACAGATTCAGCAAAATGGTACACCTTGTGGCTGTACCAGAGACAATCACGGCAAGTGGCTGTGCTTGTGTCTTTATTGACACCATCTTCCGACTTCATGTGTTGCCCCGTGAACTCGTATCAGACAGAGATCCACGATTCACTGCTGATTTCTGGCGTTCCGTGTTCAAATCACTCGGAACGCGCTTGAAGATGTCAACATCTGATCATCCAGAGTCAGATGGTCAGACGGAACGTGCCAATCGTGTCCTTGAAGAGATACTTCGAGGATACGTACACTCCTTTAAGAGTTGGAGTGAGTTTTTGCCGATGGTAGAGTTTGCCATCAACAACTCGGTGCATGCGTCCACGACACATACACCGTTTTACGTGAATGGCTTGCGCCATCCGCGTGTACCCACCTTACTAGAGTGTAACTCTGGTTTAAGGGGGGGAGGGACTCGCGCGAGCAAAAACCGATTTGGTTCACGCTCATCACGCTCTGACGAAGAAGTCATTGCGTTTGATGCCGATATCGATAACATCGATATCGAAGAAGATGATGCCAGTGAGAGTGCGGAAGCCCTCACTGAAGACAATGATCCCAGTGAGAGTGCGGAAGCCCTCACTGAAGAAACGGTTGTTGTCGCTGCAGTGCACTCACAGCACACTGAAGCTAACGAGTCATCAGATGAATTCACACTGGCTCGTGAAACGGTAGTCCGTTTTGTGCAAGACTCCATCGCCGAAGCGGTGGATAAGCAGAAGCAAAACGCTGACAAGAATGGAAGGGAAACACTTTATATTTTAGTAAAGGTGACTTGGTCCTACTGTCTACGGTTAACCTACCAAAGCATGTAGTGACTAACTTGGGTAGCAGTAAACTACTACCCAAGTACATTGGCCCATTTCGTGTATTGCACCGCCTAGGCAATGCATACACGATCGAGTTACCACGTAAGATGCGAACGCATCCCACATTTTACGTTGGTCGGCTTAAGCCGTACCATCAGTACGCTGCTTCTTCCGATGAAGAACGCCCTTGCGCTCAAGCATCTCGCAGAGAGCCTTGTGCTCCCGATGGTGGGCATCAACAAGGGTCTGAAGAGCAGTTATCTCAGCCCGAGACCGATCAACAATCCCACGAGCTACCCTTAGCTCGTCACGAAGAGATGTCAGAGATCTCTCGTTCTCAAGCTGAGCAAAGGCAAACTCAGCTCGATGCTTCGAGGCAGTGTCCACCATCTGGAGACGCCTATTCCGCTCATGCTCGAGATCGTCGCGTAACCCTTGCGTTACGCGATCAAAGAAGCTCTCGGGAACACACCGATCCACATGATCGTGTGGAGAGCGTCTTTCCTCCTCCTCCACCTACATTGGAGGACTCTCGCGGTGGCCAGCGCTATCTAGTAGAGCAGCTGTTGAACCACCGCGACGTGAACGGACGTCGGACGAGTTACCTCGTCCGGTGGCGCGGCTATCCCCCGTCCTGGGATTCTTGGGAGCCCCGCTCCCAACTGATGATCGACGTACTGGGTCTAGTTGAGCAGTACGACGCGGCACATCCTGTGCCGCAGAAGGACCGCCAGAGAAAGTCTTCCCGGCACGGTCGTAAAGGGATTTCAGGTTGTCAATCCCTTCGTACATCTCAGTAGAGACACGTACGCGCCACCACGGGCTGGTAAGGAGGTAAGCCTCCTTAGGTGCTCGTGCAGAGTTGTTCACACAACATGGGCACGAGTCTCCCCAAGAGAGGCAGGGTAATCCTTTCTCCCTTGACAGACGATGCAGCTTGTAGCGTGCACCTGTCGGGGTTCGCTTTTCAAACTTATCACGAGCTTTGATAAGTTTGTCGTTCCAAGCGTCACGACCTACATCCTCGAGATTATGGATGTAGGCGTTCCACGCTTGAAGTAGTGAGGGACCATCACGTTTGTGATTCCCACTGTACCATCGATGTCTGAAGAAAGCATCGATGAAGAACTCATGTTCAGCGCGATAGTCTTTCGCGCTGGGGTCAAGGTGATGAATCCTCGACGAATCGAACAATCGTGTTCGATAACGATCACTCGTCGTCGCCGACAAGTGATCCATGACAGATTTAGGAGGCATCCATGCCTTCTTTTCTGGAGCGAGACGCAACACATTGCGGTCCCGCTCTTCCTGCGACGTGCCGACAGAAGTACTGGCACCTCGCTGTGAAGTGGTGTCCATTGGAGAAACGACACCACTATTAGCGCCCGAGTCTCGCGACCTCGAGCGCCTTCGCTTCGGCGATGGTTCATCTGACTCATCAGATGAACCAAAGATGCTGCGACGCAAAGCATCGTCCATGCCACGCTTGGCAGGCGGCTTGGATTCAATTGCCGTCGATACGGATCCGTCATCCGTATCAGGAGAGTACGAGACACCGAGCTCGTACTCTGTGAAGACACGAGTGTCTTCATGACCAGCGCCTGCATCACCAGGTGATACAGGCTGAGTCGATTCAGCAACCGATGGGACATCAGTTGCTGTAGTTTCTGCTTCGGCGTCCGCACAGAGACGTGCAGACGCGCTCTCGGCGGCCTTGCTCGCGCATCGCATGGGCTTGTTTACCATGCGATGAACTGTTGGAAAGTGGACGCGGACCAACAAGTGCAAACCCTGTCCCAAATGATTTGGGACGAGTATCCATTTAGTCAATCAGTCACTAAAGTGACTGATGGTTAAGGGGGGGTGATGTAACGGGGTGAATCGTTACATAACAATTTATAAGAAATTGTTAATAGAATATAACTATAAGAGTTATATTCTCAGAATATTGTCATAAGGACAATATTCTGTAGCACTTCCAAGTAGTTCCTAATTGGTTGATATAGGCCATTATATCAACCAACGAAGACGCGCCACGACAGACGCACGCAATGAGTGGTGAGCAGATAACTGATTTACACATTTGTATTTAGACATAGTTAGATGAAGATAAATAGTGATTTATTGCAGACATTAACTATTATAAATACGGTTCTACTTTTTACTCTAACCAAGTACTCGCTTCTTCTTACCGTCTTCCTCTGCACGTACGAGTGTACGTGAAGTTACGAGGCACCGCCTTATTCTGTTATCAGAATAAGTAGCTTGTACTGTCACCAGTACAAGCTTCAGGGTGCCCCGTTACACAGTGGGCCTCGCCGAAAACCAGCCACGACGAGCTACCCTGCCCGGTGCTTCTATCTTGGCTCTGGACCTCCAGCCGTCTTGCTCCTGTTTACAAGAAAAAAGACGTCATGAAAGCCTCCATGATGAACGACGTGCTCATGTGATTTTGTAGCTATTCCTAATGCAATGTGCACAAACAAAGGCATGGGGCATCCGCCAAAATTTACTCATTCAGATATGACTCGTGCCAAGTATTCGACTCCACTCGTTTCAGATCGGAAGAAACCTGTTTATGTAAAGTCTAGAGGCTTACCACCAGGTCAAGGCAAGCTTCCAAACATACTTGCTGAGGTGAGTAGATTGAAGCAGCTGATCAGAGCAGCACTGCAGGCCGACCAGATTCAAAGCCGAATCGAATCAGAAAGTCGACTGAGGAGAGCTGGTGGATCGAAGGCAGCTGATCGCAACCCACCAACCTCTTCGATGCTGCGCATGATGTGTCATGCACAGGAATGGGATAGTACAAATCTTTTTCTCGATTGAATAGGTTGTAAGGGTGTCCCACCCTGCCGCGAGATCTCCACGAGCGCGGCGCTCTTTTTGTCGTTGTCGATGCATCTTTGGCGTTGCCGAAGGGGAGAGCTGGCCAGGATTCGGCCAGCTGATCACCACCCATTGGACCCTTTTTGTAACGGGGTGAATCGTTACATAACAATTTATAAGAAATTGTTAATAGAATATAACTATAAGAGTTATATTCTCAGAATATTGTCATAAGGACAATATTCTGTAGCACTTCCAAGTAGTTCCTAATTGGTTGATATAGGCCATTATATCAACCAACGAAGACGCGCCACGACAGACGCACGCAATGAGTGGTGAGCAGATAACTGATTTACACATTTGTATTTAGACATAGTTAGATGAAGATAAATAGTGATTTATTGCAGACATTAACTATTATAAATACAGTTCTACTTTTACTCTAACCAAGTACTCGCTTCTTCTTACCGTCTTCCTCTGCACGTACGAGTGTACGTGAAGTTACGAGGCACCGCCTTATTCTGTTATCAGAATAAGTAGCTTGTACTGTCACCAGTACAAGCTTCAGGGTGCCCCGTTACACCTGGTAGCACTTCGTAGTCCGTCCAAGGACCGCGTTCACATCCAACATGAATATGTTGGATGATGAAAGATGACCAAAGCTTTCACGCTACGCGTGACGGCTACTCCCATTTGAGCGATGTCGAATGGGATGCGGTTGAACGAATGGGTTCGACCATGGGCATCCATGCTGTTAGCGTCATGCTAGAGGCTCTCAATAGAGATGCCCAACATGCTACTATCACCAAGTTCATTCAAAATGAACTTGACGCAGAACGCGAGAAAGTAGCCTTGCTTCACCAACAAGGTTCTCAACAAGCAGAGTTGTTGAGAGAACAAGGTGCTCAACAGTTTGAACTGTTGAGACAGCAGCAGGCTGCTGCTGGCGGGTCGATGCACTCGCGTCGGCCCGAGACTTTGAAGATTGACATCTCAAAGTATAGGGGGTCGAAGAAGACTCCCTCTTGAGATGGTTCGTCGAATTGGATGACGCCATAAGGGCGCGTCGCATCGACGACGGGGATATGCAAGTTGCATTTGCCCAGTCAAATCTGGCAGGACGTGCCAAGACTTGGGCACTGGGGCTCAAGCTGCACGACCCATACGCGTTTGGGTCGTTGGAAGTCTTCAAGTCGCGGCTCAGACAAACGTTTGAACCGCCTAGAGCTGAGTTCAGAGCTCGAACCGAACTCTTGAAGCTCAAGCAGGGTAAGCGTGATGTGCACGCTTACGCTCAACATATACGACATCTCACGAGTTGTATAAGTTCCAATCCGGTGGATGAACACACGTTGGTTTCGGTGTTCATGCAGGGTCTTGCGGATGGTCCCGTCAAGACTCACCTGTTCCGGCTTGAACTAGATTCACTAGAACAAGCCATTTCAATTGCGGAGCAGGAAGACTTCAGTCTGAGACAGGCTCGCGCCAGCTCGACATCATATCGTCAACCGAGACGATATGACAACGGAGGTCCAGAGCCGATGGAACTCTGTTATGTAGAGAGCGAGAAGGCTCGCTCTACAGGCTACAAGAAGTTGCAGAGATGCAACAGATGTCAAAAGACAGGACACTACGCTTACGAGTGTAGTGCCCCTCGTCCAGTGTCTCGCGACACTGGGCGTAGTGACCGTCCACCCATGAGAAAGGGGCAGGGACGAGGGTCCGCAGTTGGTGCAAAGACGCAACAACGGGATGGACCGTCAAAAATTGGACAGGATCAGTAGGTGCGGAGCACCCTACTGATCCAGCAACGTCAAGAGAATTTGTAGGCCTCTTGATGAAGGTTGCTCCCAACACACAGACATTGTGCGTTGCTGCTCTAGGTAATGAGATCTCACTCATTACCTTGAAACTCGAAGTGACGAATAAGTTGTCCCTTCGAGCTCTAGTCGATTGTGGGGCGTCCAACAATTTTGTGCGACGCCAATCGCTAGAAGATGGTCACTTTAAATTCAGTGAATGTGACACACCTCCTACGAGGATGACGGTACGTCTTGCGACAGGCGCATCCGTAACCGTCATGAAGCGTATAGTGAAGATTCACTATACGCTAGAAGATACCCAATACGACGATGACTTTATCGTATTGGATTTGGATGACAAATTTGATGTCATCCTTGGAATACCGTGGCTCAGAAGGTACGAACCACGGGTAAACTGGCAACATCGGACAGTAACGATGCCTGCCGCTTGTTCATCAGATGGCCATCTGATGAACGTTTTGGAGCGTCCACAAGCGTGTGGATGTACTACGAGTGAGTGCGATGGCCTCACTTGTGGTACGGTCGTTAGTACGACTGCACAAAACCTTAGTGTACCAAACGGTTACACTTCGGAGCAAAGTTCCGGCGGCTGTGAGGAAACACAGGCTGCGCCGAAGGTCCACCACTCGAATAAGTCGGGTGGACTGGGACAAAGATGTATCCCTAGAGGGGAACATCTAGAAGAGAAACAATCGATCGCTCAGGTTAAGCGAAACGATAATCCTAGATCGACTGGAGAGTCTTTCGTAGAGGATCTCGCTGTGGTTGCGCAACCCCAGCTAGAGGAAGTAAAAGGAATAAGTCCCAAGATTACAAATACGGCGGAAATAAGTTCCCCGAAACCCGCGGGAATAAGTCCCCGGGAAGACGAAGGAATAAGTCCTTCGAAGCCTGAGGGAATAAGTCCCCAGGAAATGACAGAGACATTGAATGTCATAGTCAATAACGGATCATGTGTAGGCGCTTATACACTTGATCTGATTGCGCCTCCGAAGTTAACTTCGGAGATCACTCAGTTGCCAACGCTCGAACATAAAAGATTCTTGCGTGATCTGCGTAGTGGCAAAGTCAAGCAGATCTGCATACTCGTCGCTGAAGACGAGTATGTAACCGACATAAGGTCAGCAACAGTGTTCACTGAGAACGAGAGAGTTCTCAGTAGTTCATCTATGGACGAGAGTGTCCTAGATGAAAAGACACGAATTGAGCGATATGAGTCCCAATCATGGGAATCGCTCAAGGAAAATCCTCTCTATGAAGATTTGGTTGAATTCAAGGATGTATTCCCTGAAACTGTTCCGTGCGAATTACCGAAGGATAAAGGTATTCGACACGAAGTCGAGCTTAAACCAGGCTCGAAGTACTGTGTCATGAAGCAGTGGCCACTGCCTCGTGAACAAGTACTTGCGATCGACAAGTTCTTTGCCGATCGTTTAGCAGGGGCCATGTGAGGGAATCAACTTCCCCACATAGCTCTCCGACCTTCTGTGTGCGAAAAGCAACAGGAGGGTGGCGGATAGTGCACGCGTTTAACAAATTGAACGCTGCAACGGTACCGGCTCAGGCGCCGATACCGAGGAAGGACGTAATCATTGATGGTATGTCAAAGAGTACCATCTTTTCGTCCATGGATTTGATGGATGGCTTCTATCAAATCCTAATGCGGGAACGGGATATACCCTATACCGCAGTTAGCACGCCTAGCGGCATGCTCTGGGAATGGCTAGTAATACCACAAGGGCTCAGTAATGCCCCTGCCACGTTCAACAGGTGTGTATCACATCTGTTGAGGCCAGTACGAGAATTCGCGCCGAGTTATTTCGATGACGTATTCATCCATAGTCGAGCTATGGATGGAAAGTCGGACGTTGAGGTTCACAAGTACCACGTCCGACAAGTTCTTACAATCATGCGAAAGCATCAATTGTATGCAAACCTCAAGAAGTGTATATTTGCAGCAAGCGAAATACCACTTCTTGGGTGCATCGTTGGTAAGAACGGTGTACGTCCTGATCCCGAAAAGATCAAGGCGATCACCGACTGGCCCGTGCCGGTCGATGTCAAAGGTCTTCGAAAATTCCTTGGGCTAGCGGCGTATTTGCATAAGTATTCACGCAATTACGCCGAGATGACTGTACACCTCTCTCGTTTGTTGAAAAAGAACGAGAGGTGGTTATGGAACGCTGAATGTCAACGCTCCTTTGAGGGTATCAAGCAGAGCTTGATACAATCCCCAGTCCTAGCAATAGCCGATCAGGACAGGCCATTTCATGTGGTCTGTGATGCCAGCGATTTCGCAATCGGCTGTGCATTAATGCAGTACGACCTTGAAGGCGTTGAACGCGTCGTCTGCTATCAGTCGCGTCAGCTGCAACCAGCTGAGCGGAACTATCCAGTGCATGACAAGGAACTCCTTGCCATGAAGTATGCACTCGCGAAGTTCAGAGTCTATCTATTAGGAGATAGACCCTTCGTTGTTTACACTGACCATGCGTCCTTACGCACGGCAGTGAACAGCCCGCACCTTTCACAACGAATGGCGCGGTGGTTGTCATTCTTTGCAGAATACAACTTTACGGTCGAGTACAAACCAGGACGACTTAATGTCGTCGCTGATGCACTCTCACGTCGTCCCGACTTTGAACCAGTCGTGAAACCCAACAGTGAGACAGTCACTGTTGCGGTTATGACGTCCTCAGTTCCATCTACAACGTTGTATGATGATGTGAGGCGGGCATACGCCCAAGATGGTGAGATAGTGAAGTTGTTGTCACATCTCTCCCAACCATCCCGAGAATCGTTGAAACGATTGTCGTCTGCGTATCGATCTGCATCAGATCGATACACTACTCGTAACGGTTTACTGTATTATACAGCCGTTTCTGGTGACACACCACGTGTTGTCATTCCAGATGATACTGATCTGCGTTTGCGGATCATGTTCGAGTATCACGATGCTCCTATAGGAGGACATCGTGGCCGAGAGAAAACATATCTCACGGTAAGTCGAGACTTTTACTGGCCCCGCCAGTATCAGTTTGTGCGAAAGTATGTTCGCGCATGCGAAGTCTGCCAACGAGTGAAGTCAAGTCCTTCACTGCGTGCACCTTTACAGCCTCTACCGGTTCCGGCTGAGTGCTGGGAATCCATCTCAATGGATTTCGTCTTCGGGTTACCCAAAGACGCACGCGGGAATACGGGTATTCTCGTATTTGTTGACAGATTCAGCAAAATGGTACACCTTGTGGCTGTACCAGAGACAATCACGGCAAGTGGCTGTGCTTGTGTCTTTATTGACACCATCTTCCGACTTCATGGGTTGCCCCGTGAACTCGTATCAGACAGAGATCCACGATTCACTGCTGATTTCTGGCGTTCCGTGTTCAAATCACTCGGAACGCGCTTGAAGACGTCAACATCTGATCATCCAGAGTCAGATGGTCAGACGGAACGTGCCAATCGTGTCCTTGAAGAGATACTTCGAGGATACGTACACTCGTTTAAGAGTTGGAGTGAGTTTTTGCCGATGGTAGAGTTTGCCATCAACAACTCGGTGCATGCGTCCACGACACATACACCGTTTTACGTGAATGGCTTGCGCCATCCGCGTGTACCCACCTTACTAGAGTGTAACTCTGGTTTAAGGGGGGGAGGGACTCGCGCGAGCAAAAACCGATTTGGTTCACGCTCATCACGCTCTGACGAAGAAGTCATTGCGTTTGATGCCGATATCGAAGAAGATGATGCCAGTGAGAGTGCGGAAGCCCTCACTGAAGACAATGATCCCAGTGAGAGTGCGGAAGCCCTCACTGAAGAAAAGGTTGTTGTCGCTGCAGTGCGCTCACAGCACACTGAAGCTAACGAGTCATCAGATGAGTTCATACTGGCTCGTGAAACGGTAGTCCGTTTTGTGCAAGACTCCATCGCCGAAGCGGTGGATAAGCAAAAGCAAAACGCTGACAAGAATGGAAGGGCAAACACTCTTTTATTTAATAAAGGTGACTTAGTCCTACTGTCTACGGTTAATCTACCAAAACATGTAGTGACTAACTTGGGTAGCAGTAAACTACTACCCAAGTACATTGGCCCATTTCGTGTATTGCACCGCCTAGGCAATGCATACACGATCGAGTTACCACGTAAGATGCGAACGCATCCCACGTTTTACGTTGGTCGGCTTAAGCCGTACCATCAGTACGCTGCTTCTTCCGATGAAGAACGCCCTTGCGCTCAAGCATCTCGCAGAGAGCCTTGTGTTCCCGATGGTGGACGTCGACAAGGGTCTGAGGAGCAGTTATCTCATCCCGAGACTGATCAACATTCCGACGAGCTACCCTTAGCTCGTCACGCAGAGACGTCAGAGCTCTCTCGTTCTCAAGCTGAGCAAAAGCAAACTCATCTCGATGCCTCAAGACAGTGACCGCCAGTTGGAGACGCGTGTCCCGCTCATGTTCGAGATCGCTGCTTAACGCTTGGGTTACGCGATCAAAGAAGCTCTCGGGAACACACGCTTACCCACTATCGTGAGGAGAGCGTCTTCCCTCCTCCTCCACCTACATTGGAGGACTCTCGCGGTGGCCAGAAATATCTGGTTGAGCAGCTGTTGAACCACCGCGACGTGAACGGACGTCAGACGAGTTACCTCGTCCGGTGGCGTGGTTATCCCCCGTCCTGGGATACTTGGGAGCCCCGCTCCCAACTGATGATTGACGTACTGGGTCTGGTTGAGCAGTACGACGCGGCACGGTCGTAAAGGGATTTCAGGTTGTCAATCCCTTCGTACATCTCAGTAGAGATACATACGCGCCACCACGGGCTAGTAAGGAGGTAGGCCACCTTAGTTGCGCGCGCTGAGTTGTTTACACAACAAGGGCACGGGCCTACCCAGAAAAGACAGGGTAACCCACCCTCCTTAGACAGACGATGCAGATTGTAGCGTGCACCTGTCGGGGTTCTCTTCTCAAACTTATCACGAGCTTTGATAAGTTTGTCGTTCCAAGCGTCACGACCTACATCCTCGAGATTATGGATGTAGGCGTTCCACGCCTGAAGTAGTGAGGGACCATCACGTTTGTGATTCCCACTGTACCATCGATGTCTGAAGAAAGCATCGATGAAGAACTCATGTTCAGCGCGATAGTCTTTCGCGCTGGGGTCAAGGTGATGAATCCTTGACGAATCGAACAATCGTGTTCGATAACGATCACTCGTCGTCGCCGACAAGTGATCCATGACAGATTTAGGAGGCATCCATGCCTTCTTTTCTGGAGCGAGACGCAACACATTGCGGTCCCGCTCTTCCTGCGACGTGCCGACAGAAGTACTGGCACCTCGCTGTGAAGTGGTGTCCATTGGAGAAACGACACCACTATTGGCGCCCGAGTCTCGCGACCTCGAGCGCCTTCGCTTCGGCGATGGTTCATCTGACTCATCAGATGAACCAAAGATGCTGCGACGCAAAGCATCGTCCATGCCACGCTTGGCAGGCGGCTTGGATTCAATTGCCGTCGATACGGATCCGTCATCCGTATCAGGAGAGTACGAGACACCGAGCTCGTACTCTGTGAAGACACGAGTGTCTTCATGACCAGCGCCTGCATCACCAGGTGATACAGGCTGAGTCGATTCAGCAACCGATGGGACATCAGTTGCTGTAGTTTCTGCTTCGGCGTCCGCACAGAGACGTGCAGACGCGCTCTCGGCGGCCTTGCTCGCGCATCGCATGGGCTTGTTTACCATGCGATGAGATGTTGGAAAGTGGACGCGGACCAACAAGTGCAAACCCCGTCCCAAATGATTTGGGACGAGTATCCATTTAGTCAATCAGTCACTAAAGTGACTGATGGTTAAGGGGGGTGATGTAACGGGGTGAATCGTTACATAACAATTTATAAGAAATTGTTAATAGAATATAACTATAAGAGTTATATTCTCAGAATATTGTCATAAGGACAATATTCTGTAGCACTTCCAAGTAGTTCCTAATTGGTTGATATAGGCCATTATATCAACCAACGAAGACGCGCCACGACAGACGCACGCAATGAGTGGTGAGCAGATAACTGATTTACACATTTGTATTTAGACATAGTTAGATGAAGATAAATAGTGATTTATTGCAGACATTAACTATTATAAATACAGTTCTACTTTTTACTCTAACCAAGTACTCGCTTCTTCTTACCGTCTTCCTCTGCACGTACGAGTGTACGTGAAGTTACGAGGCACCGCCTTATTCTGTTATCAGAATAAGTAGCTTGTACTGTCACCAGTACAAGCTTCAGGGTGCCCCGTTACACTTTTTGCTTGCGCGATGGTGGCAGTGTGCAGCTGCAATGATGCCTCGTGTCTCAAACGTATCATTTGTATGGAAGTTTCTCAACTGATCCGATATCTCGACTGCCCGGCAGCTCACCTCTTTCCAGTGCACCTCATTCTTAAGCAGTGCTGTAAACTGTCATTCTGCTTTTTGCCACAAACACCGCACACCGCCGCACACCCGACCGACCCAACCCTCCAGGAGAGATGCACGTCCCCTCCTCTCTGGTCCTCTTCATGGCAACCGTCGCCTCCAGTTCAGTCATGGGATACGCTGGTGGTGAATACAGCAAATCTATGCCTGTCATGCCAGGGTTACGCTGCAGTGACGCCAGTATTTCATGCGGCGAAAGCGACGGGAGCGTTTCCCGGTTTTGCCTCGAGAGAATGGATGAAGACTTTCGACAATGCTGCATGAGCAAGTGCCCGTCTGCTGGCAAACAACCCGACCGTTACTGCAGCGCGATCAATGTTCCGTGTGACGGATTCGACTACGACGCGTCCTCGTTTTGCAGCTGGAAGAAAGATCCCAATGTCGAGTTCAAGGACTGCTTGTAACGGGGCACCCTGAAGCTTGTACTGGTGACAGTACAAGCTACTTATTCTGATAACAGAATAAGGCGGTGCCTCGTAACTTCACGTACACTCGTACGTGCAGAGGAAGACGGTAAGAAGAAGCGAGTACTTGGTTAGAGTAAAAAGTAGAACTGTATTTATAATAGTTAATGTCTGCAATAAATCACTATTTATCTTCATCTAACTATGTCTAAATACAAATGTGTAAATCAGTTATCTGCTCACCACTCATTGCGTGCGTCTGTCGTGGCGCGTCTTCGTTGGTTGATATAATGGCCTATATCAACCAATTAGGAACTACTTGGAAGTGCTACCGAATATTGTCCTTATGACAATATTCTGAGAATATAACTCTTATAGTTATATTCTATTAACAATTTCTTATAAATTGTTATGTAACGATTCACCCCGTTACATCACCCCCCCCCTTAACCATCAGTCACTTTAGTGACTGATTGACTAAATGGATACTCGTCCCAAATCATTTGGGACGGGGTTTGCACTTGTTGGTCCGCGTCCACTTTCCAACATCTCATCGCATGGTAAACAAGCCCATGCGATGCGCGAGCAAGGCCGCCGAGAGCGCGTCTGCACGTCTCTGTGCGGACGCCGAAGCAGAAACTACAGCAACTGATGTCCCATCGGTTGCTGAATCGACTCAGCCTGTATCACCTGGTGATGCAGGCGCTGGTCATGAAGACACTCGTGTCTTCACAGAGTACGAGCTCGGTGTCTCGTACTCTCCTGATACGGATGACGGATCCGTATCGACGGCAATTGAATCCAAGCCGCCTGCCAAGCGTGGCATGGACGATGCTTTGCGTCGCAGCATCTTTGGTTCATCTGATGAGTCAGATGAACCATCGCCGAAGCGAAGGCGCTCGAGGTCGCGAGACTCGGGCGCTAATAGTGGTGTCGGTTCTCCTATGGACACCACTTCACAGCGAGGTGCCAGTACTTCTGTCGGCACGTCGCAGGAAGAGCGGGACCGCAATGTGTTGCGTCTCGCTCCAGAAAAGAAGGCATGGATGCCTCCTAAATCCGTCATGGATCACTTGTCGGCGACGACGAGTGATCGTTATCGAACACGATTGTTCGATTCGTCAAGGATCCATCACCTTGACCCCAGCGCGAAAGACTATCGCGCTGAACATGAGTTCTTCATCGATGCTTTCTTCAGACATCGATGGTACAGTGGGAATCACAAACGTGATGGTCCCTCACTACTTCAGGCGTGGAACGCCTACATCCATAATCTCGAGGATGTAGGTCGTGACGCTTGGAACGACAAACTTATCAAAGCTCGTGATAAGTTTGAAAAGCGAACCCCGACAGGTGCACGCTACAAGCTGCATCGTCTGTCAAGGGAGAAAGGATTACCCTGCCTCTCTTGGGGAGACTCGTGCCCATGTTGTGTGAACAACTCTGCACGAGCACCTAAGGAGGCTTACCTCCTTACCAGCCCGTGGTGGCGCGTACGTGTCTCTACTGAGATGTACGAAGGGATTGACAACCTGAAATCCCTTTACGACCGTGCCGGGAAGACTTTCTCCGGCGGTCCTTCTGCGGCACAGGATGTGTCGCGTCGTACTGCTCGACCAGACCCAGTACGTCAACCATCAATTGGGAGCGGGGCTCCCAAGAATCCCAGGACGGGGGATAGCCGCGCCACCGGACGAGGTAACTCGTCCGACGTCCGTTCACGTCGCGGTGGTTCAACAGCTGCTCTACTAGATAGCGCTGGCCACCGCGAGAGTCCTCTAATGGAGGTGGAGGAGGAGGAAAGACGCTCTCCACACGATCATGTGGATCGGTGTGTTCCCGAGAGCTTCTTTGATCGCGTAACGCAAGGGTTACGCGACGATCTCGAGCATGAGCGGAATAGGCGTCTCCAGATGGTGGACACTGCCTCGAAGCATCGAGCTGAGTTTGCCTTTGCTCAGCTTGAGAACGAGAGATCTCTGACATCTCTTCGTGACGAGCTAAGGGTAGCTCGTGGGATCGTTGATCGGTCTCGGGCTGAGATAACTGCTCTTCAGACCCTTGTTGATGCCCACCATCGGGAGCACAAGGCTCTCTGCGAGATGCTTGAGCGCAAGGGCGTTCTTCATCGGAAGAAGCAGCGTACTGATGGTACGGCTTAAGCCGACCAACGTAAAACGTGGGATGCGTTCGCATCTTACGTGGTAACTCGATCGTGTATGCATTGCCTAGGCGGTGCGATACACGAAATGGATCGATGTACTTGGGTAGAAGTTTACTACTACCCAAGTTAGTCACTACATGCTTTGGTAGGTTAACCGTAGACAGTAGGACCAAGTCACCTTTACTAAAATATAAAGTGTTTCCCTTCCATTCTTGTCAGCGTTTTGCTTCTGCTTATCCACCGCTTCGGCGATGGAGTCTTGCACAAAACGGACTACCGTTTCACGAGCCAGTGTGAATTCATCTGATGACTCGTTAGCTTCAGTGTGCTGTGAGTGCACTGCAGCGACAACAACCGTTTCTTCAGTGAGGGCTTCCGCACTCTCACTGGGATCATTGTCTTCAGTGAGGGCTTCCGCACTCTCACTGGCATCATCTTCTTCGATATCGTTTTCGATATCGGCATCAAACGCAATGACTTCTTCGTCAGAGCGTGATGAGCGTGAACCAAATCGGTTTTTGCTCGCGCGAGTCCCTCCCCCTTAAACCAGAGTTACACTCTAGTAAGGTGGGTACACGCGGATGGCGCAAGCCATTCACGTAAAACGGTGTATGTGTCGTGGACGCATGCACCGAGTTGTTGATGGCAAACTCTACCATCGGCAAAAACTCACTCCAACTCTTAAAGGAGTGTACGTATCCTCGAAGTATCTCTTCAAGGACACGATTGGCACGTTCCGTCTGACCATCTGACTCTGGATGATCAGATGTTGACATCTTCAAGCGCGTTCCGAGTGATTTGAACACGGAACGCCAGAAATCAGCAGTGAATCGTGGATCTCTGTCTGATACGAGTTCACGGGGCAACCCATGAAGTCGGAAGATGGTGTCAATAAAGACACAAGCACAGCCACTTGCCGTGATTGTCTCTGGTACAGCCACAAGGTGTACCATTTTGCTGAATCTGTCAACAAATACGAGAATACCCGTATTCCCGCGTGCGTCTTTGGGTAACCCGAAGACGAAATCCATTGAGATGGATTCCCAGCACTCAGCCGGAACCGGTAGAGGCTGTAAAGGTGCACGCAGTGAAGGACTTGACTTCACTCGTTGACAGACTTCGCATGCGCGAACATACTTTCGTACAAACTGATACTGGCGGGGCCAGTAAAAGTCTCGACTTACCGTGAGATATGTTTTCTCTCGGCCACGATGTCCTCCTATAGGAGCATCGTGATACTCGAACATGATCCGCAAACGCAGATCAGTATCATCTGGAATGACAACACGTGGTGTGTCACCAGAAACGGCTGTATAATACAGTAAACCGTTACGAGTAGTGTATCGATCTGATGCAGATCGATACGCAGACGACAATCGTTTCAACGATTCTCGGGATGGTTGGGAGAGATGTGACAACAACTTCACTATCTCACCATCTTGGGCGTATGCCCGCCTCACATCATCATACAACATTGTAGATGGGACTGAGGACGTCATAACCGCAACAGTGACTGTCTCACTGTTGGGTTTCGCGACTGTTTCAAAGTCGGGACGACGTGAGAGTGCATCAGCGACGACATTAAGTCGTCCTGGTTTGTACTCGACCGTAAAGTTGTATTCTGCAAAGAATGACAACCACCGCGCCATTCGTTGTGAAAGGTGCGGGCTGTTCACTGCCGTGCGTAAGGACGCATGGTCAGTGTAAACAACGAAGGGTCTATCTCCTAATAGATAGACTCTGAACTTCGCGAGTGCATACTTCATGGCAAGGAGTTCCTTGTCATGCACTGGATAGTTCCGCTCAGCTGGTTGCAGCTGACGCGACTGATAGCAGACGACGCGTTCAACGCCTTCAAGGTCGTACTGCATTAATGCACAGCCGATTGCGAAATCGCTGGCATCACAGACCACATGAAATGGCCTGTCCTGATCGGCTATTGCTAGGACTGGGGATTGTATCAAGCTCTGCTTGATACCCTCAAAGGAGCGTTGACATTCAGCGTTCCATAACCACCTCTCGTTCTTTTTCAACAAACGAGAGAGGTGTACAGTCATCTCGGCGTAATTGCGTGAATACTTATGCAAATACGCCGCTAGCCCAAGGAATTTTCGAAGACCTTTGACATCGACCGGCACAGGCCAGTCGGTGATCGCCTTGATCTTTTCGGGATCAGGACGTACACCGTTCTTACCAACGATGCACCCAAGAAGTGGTATTTCGCTTGCTGCAAATATACACTTCTTGAGGTTAGCATACAATTGATGCTTTCGCATGATTGTAAGAACTTGTCGGACGTGGTACCTGTGAACCTCAACGTCCGACTTTCCATCCATAGCTCGACTATGGATGAATACGTCATCGAAATAACTCGGCGCGAACTCTCGTACTGGTCTCAACAGATGTGATACACATCTGTTGAACGTGGCAGGGGCATTACTGAGCCCTTGTGGCATTACTAGCCATTCCCAGAGCATGCCGCTAGGCGTGCTAACTGCGGTATAGGGTATATCCCGTTTCCGCATTAGGATTTGATAGAAGCCATCCATCAAATCCATGGACGAAAAGATGGTACTCTTTGACATACCATCAATGATTACGTCCTTCCTCGGTATCGGCGTCTGAGCCGGTACCGTTGCAGCGTTCAATTTGTTAAACGCGTGCACTATCCGCCACCCTCCTGTTGCTTTTCGCACACAGAAGGTCGGAGAGCTATGTGGGGAAGTTGATTCCCTCACATGGCCCGCTGCTAAACGATCGGCAAAGAACTTGTCGATCGCAAGTACTTGTTCACGAGGCAGTGGCCACTGCTTCATGACACAGTACTTCGAGCCTG